GCAAATTGAGATTCTTGCTGAAGATTGGCTTCTTCAATTAAAATAAGGGATTTAAGTGCCAAGAAAGTTGGAAACAGTGTCCTTTGGGGTATAGTCCATTTAGCCACAAAGAATGCTTGATCTAACCCAACAATTGTTTGAAGAACCAAATCCTTATCTATCACATAATCTCCATTACCATGCATTCTATCAGATAAAGATTCATATGCTATAAATAATCCATCACAGATTGGCCAGGTTGTTTTTTAAGAGAGCAAAATTCTTGTTGAAGATATAGTTGTTGTGTAGAGAGTTGATTTTGATAAGCAAGTTCAATGGCATCCCATGCCAATTTTGCTATCAGAGACTAACCCGATTGAATAATTAATTGAAGAACATCAGTAAAGATGGTGGCTTGAATCCATGATAGCACTTGGTAATCAATCTGCATCCAATGCTCATAATCAGGATTTGTAGATGGTGGACATGGGTGAGCACCATCTATGTGGCCATAAACTCCTTTACTTTTGAGAACCGGAATCATCAATTCACACCATATCATGTAGTTGCTATGGGTTAGGGTCTTTGTAACATAGTTTTTTATGTTGGAAACAAAGAAGATAGGATGTGAGAAAATTCAAGACATAGAGGTTGTTTTAGCAGGTGACGAAGTAAGAGAAAGATTAGTTGAAGAGGAAGATGAGTTAGACATGATGAGGCAGACAAAAGAAGGAAGAAAACCCTAGATTAGACGAGAAAAGAAAACCCTAGATCACACAATTTGGTGCCGAAATTGGCTATGATACCATGAAACAAAATCATGTTTTTCCCATTCAATTATGTATCTAGCATTTGTATATATATACAGGGATATATTTTGTGAAAAGTCTAACCTACCCTCATACAATATATATATATACACACATTAACACGGGGGTGACATCCAAAACTGCCTCTTGAACTAAAATTTTGAATGCATGGATGTAATGCTTAGTAGGGTTTCTCCATTTTTGGAGTTATGTTATGTATATTATAGATTGATTGTTGAGTTATAGTTATTTTTACTTCCAGCAATGTTGGAACTGTGACTCAAACTTTGATTTGCATTCTCTTATTGACATTCAGATGGAAAGTTGTAATGTTGTAAATTTTTCTTCCCTTTTTCTTGACAAAGTGGAAATAAAGGTTTGAACTTTGAAGTTCCTTGCAGATGGCAAACCCTAAACCCTTGTCTCTATATTTTTTATTTTTATTTTTATTTTTTTCTCTGAAGCAGAGGTTTTTTCAAAAACTAAGCCTGTACCAGCTCGCTAATTAACAATTAAGTTGAATGAGGGTAAGTGTCTGAGTTCTAAGACGTTTCCAGAGTCAAGGGAAAATTTCCTGGTGAACCCCACTTTTGTTTCCAAGATTTATACCCAAGTCAAAACAGTTTCTTCAATATCCCTTCAACAATGTCGGAACTCAAAAGCAAAGCTCAGGAGAATTTGCACTGCAAATGCCTGAGAATCATGTGGGAGAGGAAACATGCCCAGAAGGAGAAGGTAGGATATATAACAGAAAATGTTGAAAATCTGCCTACATGTAACTCAACAATTCATTTTTTCTCATTGGCTTTTGTTTTCCAATTCAACGTATCTAAATACACGCTTAACCTAACTTCTAAAATAACTTCTTTACTACAAGAATTAAGAAGTACCATGCTAAAAGTCGCTTCTAATGAAAATTTATCACATATTTTACTTATTTTCATAGTATAACATAATATTTTTTAAAAAAATATTAAAAATGAGCTATTTAGAGTCATAAAGGTTACCAATGACATACATTTGAATGAGGTTTACAAAAACTTGATCAATTGGGTCAAACTTGTTCCATGGAAAGGATTCAAAGTTTCAAACATTCAGTATCCAACCCATTTTTATCTTTGTGTTTTTTTTCAAGGAGCATCATCATTTTGCGAACATCAAATAATTGCTTAATAGGGATTGGTTGGTGTGAAGATTCTAGGTGGTGGTGGTGGGCAAATTGGTAAGGTCCCACCTCCCCCTGAAAAGACCATAACCCAGATAAACAACTCTACCTCGCCTGTTTCTTGACTTAACCACGTAAAAGAAAACAAAATTCCCTGTTTAATGCCGTGTCTTTGCTGCCTGTTTGCTAATGCACAAGATCATCACGTAAAATATATAAGTATTATCTAAAGTTACACATAAAAGAATTAAAACAATTATCAATTTAAAATAGAGACAACAAATAAAAAGAACACACCGAAACTAAAAATGAGTCGGTTAGCTTAACTCTTAACTTCTAACTAGAGTCTAAAATGAACTTGTGGGATTGGTCAAGGAATATAATATAATAGGAGATTAAACAAACTCGAATTTGTTCCCAAAAACAGAATAAAAAATAATTAAATAACACATATACCAAAACAGAGGTACTGATCAGAACAAATTAATGTTTTTGTCCATAATCTTGATTAATAAAATCTGTTGACAAACTCCACGTTGTTTGTATTAGAGAATAATTTCGGAGACATAAACAGCTAATCCACAAAGGGTCAGTTCATAATACAAGTAAGGGATCATAAAACATTAGATCATTCTTAATTTAATTTTTAAAAAATTATGAAAACGATCCAAAAAGAAGTAGAGGGTGAAAACCCTCATTAAGTGAATAATTTTTTGATTTGAGTAAAACTAAGCATATATTCTAATTGGATAAAAGCATAGAAAGTCAATTAAGACAAGGTTCCAATGTCCTTATCCAACATTGGCGGTTCCTAACACTTAATTAGTAGTAGCCATTAAACCTTTTGAACAGTGGTAAAAGCAAGAAATCTACGTTGGGCGGTAAAACTTTGAAGAAAGAGGAATGAACCAATTGATACTCCAAAACCGTGATGATCGGAAAGGGATATGTGGGATTGAAGAAAATTCAACTCAAAACAAGTTACCTTCAACCAAAAAATAAAATAAAATA